AGCAAGAGGAGGACCTTAACACTGCAGGCATATGAAATCTGGTGACACTGAAGTTGGCACACTACAACAAAACAATATTGGTGTCAGTGTGTTGCTACGCAGTGTGCCAATGGAGGTGAATAGTAAGAATGGCCTAAAAGAGCTGCTAATGTTGACATCCATGTAAAAAAATGTAATTTACTATCTCATTGAACTGAACACGTCCTGATAGAAATAGGAATAGGAACGGACATTGCTGGCTTGTTTTAAAGATGCGAATCGAGGCCATCCTGATCCTGGCTTTATTTTCTAGTCGGCCACTGATCTGTAACAAACTTGAAAACAGTAGCCTCAAAAGTCTATTTCCTGTCTCATTTGCTTGTTCCAAGTCAGTGACACACAAGGTATTGAAACCAGGATGAAGATGAGAGCCCTGGAGATTGCATCTTTAAAGTGTATGTGAAGGCAAAACTTGTTTAACTTGTTTTGGATGGGGGGGGTGGTTATATCTTCTGCCATGTTTTTATTGAGGTCTCCCCTGCATTTGTCCTGGTGGGGGTTGTCACCAAGACAGAACATGAGGGGAAATCCTACATTTTAGATTTGTCAGAGTTGAGGATCAAAACATCCAGTTGAAACAAATGTTTTGTTGACACTTGCGTAAGATGGAAATTAGCAATGCCACCTCCCATATTTCAGCCCTCACAGTTTCCCTTTAAAGATCTCACATGTAAAATTTCAAAATATTACAAAAGTTACTGGTTCACATCTTCACAAAAAGCTCTTTTTGTATCTGTTAGTGTTGTGTACTCTTAAGGAAGAACTCCACAGACATTTTTTTAACCCTTTCAGTGGGACTACCCCTGCACGGCAAGGCTTAAGTTCTGGGTTTGTTCTAGGTATAAAAATAAATTTGTACTCACCCGATCCCTGGAGCCGGCTTGCTCTTAGACCAGTCCTTCCAGAATCTCTCTCTGCTGCAGCTGTCTAAGGTCCCTGAGTCATCACAATCTATTCACTATATATATGATGTGAGGATGCCGATTGACATACCATTGCTGCAGCGTAGGAGGAGACAGGCGGAAGGGGCCAGTGTAGCAGCCAGCCAGCTTCTAAGGTTTAGGTGAGTATGACTTTTTTTTTTATCTAGACTAACCTCTCAGTGTCTGCAACCCCCTTCTGCCAATCCCTGCACTGGCTTTGACTCGCCCAAAGGATAAAATTCAAAATATTAACAAGCACTTATAAGGCCATCCACAACTCAGCCCCCGGATATATCTCAAACCTTGTCTCAAAATATCACCCTAACCGTCCTCTCCGCTTTTCAAAAGTCCTCCTGCTTTCCAGCTCCCTCATAAACTCCTCCCATGCTCGCCTCCAGGACTTCACTAGAGTGTCTCCCATCCTTTGGATCTCTCTAAACCACACCCTGTCCGTCTATCTCCCACTGTGACTGCCTTTAGGCAATCCCTTAAGACTCATCTCTTCAAGAATGAGGTATGTAAAGAATGCAAAGCCAGCTATTTTTTATAAGTATCTATTTGTAGATTGTCATTACTAAACATTTCCAAAGATATATTTGTTGTAATTTCAAAGATATGGGTAGAGTTTCTCCCTAAGAAAAAATATACCCTGGAGTTTTTTCTCTACCTATAAGATACATTGGGGTGTAATTTATCGAAACTGGAACAGACAGAATCTGGAGCAGTTGCCTTTAGTAACCAATCAGCTCCTCTCTTCAGTTTATTCAGTTATGCTTTGAAAATTAGAGATACTAGCTGTTTGGTTGCCATGGGCCAGATTCTGTCCCAGTTTTGATAAATTTCCGCTCATTGAGTAAAACTTGGGTATATGTGTTTTATAGAAAATAGAATTGTCCTGAGGCCAGAGTATTTTACAGCCCCCATTGTTTTTTTGTTATAAACATGTATAGCTAGTTTGTGGTTAAATGCCTTGTAACATGTAATGACTCCTTTTATATAGTATAGATGTCCTATAAAGGAGAAGCTAAATTCAAGGCAAGCAGCTAAATATGCACATGAAATTCATACATAAGGACTGTTTTACCTGCATACAGATTCTTATTTCTGTCTATCTAGTCAGATTAGACAGATTCGAGATTTACACAGCCCTGCCAGACAGCATAGGCAGCTCAGAGTTAAGTAATGCAAGTAGGTATTTTCTCTGCCCCCAACTTGTTACTGGAGTGATGGAGCCGCAGCAGACTGATGAGCTCATCTCTTTATTACTCTGCTCTTTCTTCCTGTCAAAATGTTCCTTGTTGGCACATGAGCACTGCAACAAAACTGGCTGGCTCATTGTGCTGTTTCTCCCGCTCCCAGTCTGACCGGGAAGGGGGATCATGTCTCCAATGCTTACCAGAAGGGTGGAGATCAAATGGCACATGGCTCCCCTCCAGATACAGCCGCACTAGGTAAAGTACAGATACAAGTACTGAATATTCCTGTGTACATTTTGATTTGACAGAGCTGTAGCTTGTGATGTCTGTGATCAGGGATATTACTCATTGCATTATAACTAGCAATGTCCTCAAAGAAAATGTCTGTGATAAGGAGTATTACTGATTGCAATGTCAGTTGTAATGCCCTCCAAGAAACTGTGTCTGACTAACTTTTTGTTTTTTTAATTATAGTTTCACTACAAAGTTTGTTTTTTGCTCACTTGCAGATCCATACGGGATCCTCTACCACAAATAGCTCAGATCATCAAGTTGCAATTGCTGATTCTTCTGTCTTGGAAAATGTAGTTGACCAAGAACTGATTCAAGGTATACACTTAATATATTGTCATCATTGTTGTTTCTGAGACTCCCTAAAACCTAACTCTAGTCAAAATTTGACAGAAGTTTTAACATTCCCTTTCCCACCCTGCAAATAGAGTGGTTTTGTTGCTGTCTGTGTCCCTATTCAAGAGATTTCCCATCACTTCCATTTCCCTGTGATCCTCTGTAACTAGAACAGAAAGTGAGGGGGAATATTTGCAATGGATACACATCCATAATGGACAAAAAAGCTCATGCTCTCTGCTTATTGGAGATCTCTAGATCTGACTCAGCAGGGGGTGTCAGACCTCTACGTAGAAACCACTGCTTACACATAAAAAGTAAGGGGTCCTTCTCTGCAGCTTCTGCAATCTTTTCTGCCATTCAGCATTAAGGAAACCTCTCCCCTGATGCAGCTCTTGTTTTCCAAAGAGCCACAAAGACCCTCAGTGCATTCCTAAAGGGACTTTGGTCAACTCTAGCCACCTATCCTGGGCCAGATGCATGGGTTTGTGTAAGTACTTAAGGCTTTGCCTCATCAGCCCTGAGCTTAGTGGCATCACCACTGCACAGTTGCTGAGTAGGCATGACTGGGGCCTCTAAGTCTGATTCTACAGCCACATGCAATAGCCGGTGTTGGAAACCGTCTAGACCATCAGGAAAGTCTTCTCTAAAAGATGGTCTTAGGAACTTTATTCCAACCTAGTAACTATTCTTTCCCACAGAGCAGTCATTTGTCTCTTTTTAGACAGGCAAGACCATTACCTATGCTGGGTATCCATCAGATCCAGCATCCCTGTCCTTTTCCAAAAGGACACTCTGTTCTCCATGGTCAGCTAGTGCCAGTACTTTTCCTAGCAGGGCCCTAACTCCTCAGTCTTGCTTCTGCACTCCAAGTGTTCTCCAGGGTGTTAGCACCAGAGAGTGCCTTCTCATGGGATCCCCAAAGTGGGACACTCAGATGGCCTCCTGTGGAAAAAAATCAGTTACAGTAGACCCTAGTGGACAGTGTCTTCCTGGTGGTACTATTCCCTGGAAGATGCAGCTGAATCATTTCATGACCTGCAGATAGTTTAGACTAGTCTGGTTCTCTAGTAAAGGGCTCTACAATATATTGGTCAAGGAGTTACCCATCTCTCTACTGTTGCAAGAGAATCATGTGTCTAACTTTTGTTGCTCTGAGGATCAGGTGGTTCCTGGCCTGAAAAAATCAGCCCCCCAATTCGGGGGCTTATGCTTTAAACCTTTTAATTGGACTTTTCAGTTAATCGTGCAAAGGTGATGGTGGAGTACGGCAGTAATGTTGCTGTATTTTAACCAGTTGTGGACATTGGGAGCCCTAAACACATCCTGGAAACTTCAGCGAAGTACACAGGGTGTGGGTGGTAGTCCCTGTCCTTCTGCCCTACTGCTGCTCACTTCCCTGTATTTGCCGGCAATTTCCAGCTCTCAAAAAGACCATCTGGTGTTGTTGTGTAGCTATTGCAGCTGCTGCTGTAAAACAAAATGGATATTTGATATAAAGTAGCCTTGTTACTTTTGTATCTACTCTTTTATTCATTAGCAGATCGAAGGCTTGAGCTTTGATCTACTTATGATGTTGGTTAAAGCAACCTGACAAATAAAATGTATTTAAAATGTGTTCCCATTTAACCCCTTATTAACCCTTAGTTTATTCTGATCTCTGAAAAAAATCCTTTCCTTTCTCCCCTTTATCTAATATTTTTCTATTTTTTTTTTCTATTTTTCTAAAAATGAAAAATTTTGGGGGGGAAAAGACGTTATTCTAAATCTACTGTGTTTTCCACTATGTATATCTGCTGTACTATTAATAAAAATATTACATGCAAAAAAAAAAGACATTATTTCATTTGCAAATATCTTTGCAATGCTCCGTACCAAAATCAGAATTTTAGTGTTATTTAAAACAGGGCACATTCATTTTCTCTCTCTTTTTTCAGTTTTGTTATGTTTTTTTGTCAATGGATTGCATTACATTTATTGCAGGACAATATCACCAAAAGAAAATAAATCTTTTTTGTCTTTAAAAAAGTATCTGTTTTACTTTATCCTATTTAATAACAAAGTTGTTGCTGATAACCAGGCCCATAGCAGAAATTTTAAAAATGCGCTGGTCCATAAGGGATATACAGGTATGAGAGTTGAAGTGGCTAATGTAATATCAATTACCCTTTTGTCCTTGGTAATGTAATGACTGTTCACTACAGGTCAAAACAACAAAGCAAGAACGGCATCTCAAAGCTCTGAAGAGATTTGCGTTTCTGTGTGCACGTCTGACCAATGTTCCTTAGTCACCCCATCCCTCTTGTCAGCAGTGTGCGGATTACTGGAGAATCTGCTAGTAATGAATTCCGAAGATATTGTCAACGCCTTGGCTAAGACACATTTGCTGACAGATCTAACAAGGTGCAAACAATTGGCTTATTTCACGTTTAGAACCCTGTTGATGTAGATAGACCACCTTTTATATAATGTGTGTATATTAATTCTAAACTATTGCTTAGTTATGTTAACGCTTCTGTGAGTTTACAGCAGTTTTTTGGTCAAAATTTAAGTTTTGTGTATTTGTCCTTTTGGCTACAGAGTTCTTGTGCAACCTGTCTCTCTTTGCTCATTTAATGTGCAGGATAAAATACTTTTTATGATCATACAATATCAGGTAGTAAGTCAGTACCCCAGCAGAAAGTAGTTCTTGTAGTCTGAATAAAAGGTTTTCAGAAATAGCCTGTCAAAAGGAAATCACACCTATTGCACTTACAAAATGATTACCATTAAAGGAGGGCGGTTTTCAGTGGTTACTGTGGTGTGCTGTATGCTTATGAGTCCACCATGCAAACATTTCATTTAAACATAGGTTGCTTTTCTTTACAGAAGAAAAAAAAGAAAATAAGAGATGCTTTCATAAGAAACCTTCTAATAATACCCTTCAGGTGTTTCGTTTCTTTTAAATCTCTTGTAAAAGGTAGAACATTCCTTTGGTTTCAAACATGTAAACCACTGTGTTACATGGAGTTTGGTGGATCCACTGGTTGCAAGCATGTAAAACACTGTGTTCCATGGATTTGAATTGTCATGGAGTTTGTTGGATCCACTGGTTGCAAGCATGTAAAACACTGTGTTACATGGAGTTGAATTGTCATGGAGTTTGGTGGATCCACTGTGTTGCAAGGGGTGACTGTCAACTAGTCGGCAGGCAGATGGTCTGAGCAGAGAGCAGCAGAATCAAGGTAGGTGTTCCTAACAGATACACAACAGAGTTTCAATGAACTTCAAATCATGCGAGTAGAGTAATAATCAGACAAATAAAGAGAACCTGTTGATTAAGCACAAACAGAATGTCCAGCGATCTGTTTAAACACTCATAGCTGCCACAGGTGTGCACTGTAACATATCCCTAGCTAAAGTACTAAGTAATGACCAGCATTTAGCAAAGTCTCAAGGCTGATTGTTACAGGAATAGTAGTGGTAGCTTGTGCTGTGTAGATGTTGGTTATAATAGCCCAAACAGTGACAGCACTTCTAACACAGGACAGCACTTACCGTACTTCCTAATGTAGGCCAGATTTAAAGATCTCTCAGGACAATTAGCATTTGTGTGAACACCCTTAGACAACAAACACTCAGATCTTGGGAAGCAATGTACTAGATGCCAGTAGCATCTATTGAATGCATTAACATGCTGTCTGTTCAATATGATGGTGCATGCCTGTGTTCTAATGTGGTACAAATATGGTACAATTAGATGGCTTTAGCTAGCTAAATATGCTCCCCATGTCATGAATGTCTTTTGTCTAATTCAGCATTTTGTACATTATGCAGGATATATTTAGCTTTATTTTGTTCGTTTACTGAAAATACTTTTCCATATTGTGCCAGATGTAAACTAATATTTATTATAGCAATTGTAAAGAAATGCTGTTTTATTGTATTCGGTGGCTGTGTTTATATACATCTGTGGGAATAAAACTGCATGTTATCTCATGTATACTGTGTTGTATAACAACAGATTTGAAGCATATTACTGTGTTGGTGTGTTCACTGTTATATCTATACCTATTCCTTTTTTTGCAATTTTTTTGTGAAACAGTTGCAAATGTTCAGAAACACAGGCAAGTACATGATTGGAAGAAATAATTGTTTCCTTTTGACAGGGCTGGACAAATCTCAGCAGCCAGGCAGCTAATTCGTCTTAAAAATGAAAGCCTCATTCACACTGCTAAAGAGCCGACCCATACATATCCGTGCGGCGTGCACAGCTGTATCGGGCCGCTCTACGGAAGGACAGGCGCTGCTTGTGATCGTATGCAGCAGCCTGTTCTTCTTTATGGGAGTACGCGGCTGTACGCTCACCCGTGCGGGTGTCCGTACATCCGTGCGGGTGTCCTGTCTGTGTCCGAGCACAGGCACCCACACGGATGTGCAGTTCAGGTCAGCGTACGGCGGTGTGCTCCCATAGAGAAGAACAGGCTGCTGTGTACAATCAAACGCAGCACCTGTCCTTCCCAGGAGTGGCCCGATACGGCCGTGCATGCCGCACGGATCTGTACGGGCCGGCTCTTTAACAGTGTGAATGAGGCCTAAGGCTAACTAATAAGGTTTAACACTAATTGTTGTCAATAAAGGTGGCTCCTAAAAAAAAAAAAAATCCTGCTGGCTCCTGGATTGTTAGTTCAGGTTCCTAAATTCCATATTAATTTGTCCACCCCTGCCTTATAGGTAAAATATTTTTGTTATACCATCCGGCTCCTATTTTGAAAGCAAATGATTGTTCCTAGAACTTGGATGATGAGTGTAAAAAATAAGCAAAATCGATATCCCTTTGTATTTGTCTGTGTAACCCTGTGTGTTTTTCCTAGCATATTGTATACAGTGGGAAATTTAGTTAAAACTTAGCAGAAGTATTTTTTTCCCCTAATTGTTTCTGTTTGTGTGATACTTCCACCAGTAAAAAAGTCCCATGACTCAAATAAGGAATGAAAAATTGTATACATCTGCTTAGCTTCATGCAGTATGACAGTTCCAGCTTCTGCTTCAGGGCAGATGTGAAAGCATGTTGTAATGATAAACCTTGGATCTTAATGCAATCTGTATCTATATAGCACTGAATTCATCTATGTAAACTGCATCTTCGGGTCATTCTTGGTAGCAGAGAAATGCTGTAAAATTACAGCATATACAGTTATTAATATTAAGAATGTCTCCCTACACAGTTTTCTGTTCTGCAAATCCATTGTATAGCTCTTACAATCTGTTTTTCTTTATTTCTCATTTGCGTGAGTTTCAAATTTGTAAATGATGTTATTATAGCGTAGCTTGAAAATGATCTCAAAGCACAAATGTGCATGCCATTATATTTTTTATTGCATGACCAGCTGTATAATAATGCTTAGTAGAAGAGAAATGATAGAACTCAGGGCAGCTCTTGAATATTTTAGTGTGTCCTTGCTGTATTTGCTCTGTAATGTAATCTGACCGTGTAAAAGAAGCTCCTGTTTTTCCTTTGTGTTTTCTCATTTACAGTCTCATAAAGCCAGCTGTACTCGAAAGATGCTTTTCTGATCTCAAGACTTCACTCACCCCTGAAGGTCGCTCTCGAAATAAAAAGTCACAGGTCGGCTTTGCTTTCTGCACAATATTGAGTGAATGCGCTATTATAACTTTTTTTTATTTTTACAAAGGTGAAAATGGTTGTCTTTGACATAGATGGTATTATTTCCTTTTTACTTGTATGTGATTAAAGGATTAGGCCAAGCACAATCAAGAGTTAAAGGGATAGTTTTTCTATTTTATGGCCATTCACACTGCGGGTTTTTGAATATGCATTTCTAAATTGTACATTTGCACCCAGCCCCAATTGGTGCTTTTTTACAAATGAACTGTTTATTTTTTTTATAGGGAAACTATAATATTATTGGGTCAGTTTTAACAGGTTTTTATTATTTTATGATGTCTTACAACAAAGTATTTAATACATATCTAAGGAAATCCACGGCACTATGGATTAGCTAAAGATACTGTACCAGCAGCGGGACCTGCCTGGAGGTTAGCTTTCAAATGCTAAGGAAACAATAGGAGGCCACAACAATGACCACAGAGTCCAAGTTGATTTTTAATTATGGCATATTAGGTAACTAAGATAATTCAACCAATGCACTCTGAGGGTTCGAGAACTCCAAAATAAACAAAAGAACCCTAAAATATGCAGAAAAAGACTATAGGGAATGTAATATTTTGAGATATATATATATAGATAGATAGATATATATATATATATATCTATCTATCTATATATATATATGTGTGTGTGTGTGTGTGTGTGTGTGTGTGTGTGTGTATATGTATGTATGTATGTATATACATGTACAGTTGAGTGAAAAAGTGTTGGCCCCTTCCTGATTTTTCATTGATTTGCACGTTTGTCACACTTTTTAATGTTTCAGATCATCAAACAAATTTAAATATTAGTCAAAGATAACACAAGTAAACACAACATGCAGTTTTTAAAGGAAGGTTTTCATTATTAAGGGAAAACAAAATCCAAACCCACACGGCCATGTGTGAAAAAGTGTTTGCCTCCCCCCTGTTAAAACATAACTTAACTCTAGTTTATCGCACCTGAGTTCAATTTATCTTGCCACAAGTAGACCAAAAGATCCTCAAAAGCTACACATCATGCGCTCCTTCCCTCCCTTTCTTTCCGTTCATTAGTACACAGTTAGACACCCCGGTCTAACAACCCTAGGAGCTGCACAACACAACAGCCACGACACACCACAACACCCCCCACCCCGGAGGTGCTTACTAGTCAGTCTTAATTTTCCAACTTCAAAGGTGGTTGTATGAGATATGATAGGTCCCTGTTCAAGTTTTTCACGAGTGGCCTATGGCTCTTTGGTATTCCTGTCTAGCTGTGGTAAAGCTAAGAGCTTAAGTTTATTATGTCAGCATCCCCTCTGTCTTGCAGGGCATTCCCTATACAGCATTATCTGAAATAAAGGGATTGGGTATGATCTGTGCTTTTAACTGCAGTGTTCGAGCTTAGATTTTCTAAAGCAATTGGCAGGAAGAATAGTGAAGGGAAGTGATAAAAGGGAACAGGACTGGAAGTGATCCTTATTAAAGAAACATCAGATTGTCAAAATGTGCTCAGTTAACTTGAGTTTGTATCATTATTTCACTGCTTGAAGTGTATGTAAACCCAATGTCCAAATACACCATATATTATATTTGTTTGTATGTGTTAGAGTACCTTCCAATAGTCAAGTGTATGTCTTCTCTTTTTTGTTGTGCCTTGCATTCCTGTTAGTGTACATGGTGAGCCAACGAGTCTTCTCCTGGGACTTCCTGTAAAAAGGGTGACAAAGCTCACTGACTGTGTTTCAAAGCAGGTGTATTGTTCAGCTTGAATAACCTACATCTGCAATATCCACAGCTTTTAAATAGCTGTGTCTCTCACAGAAACGATAGGACAGTCATGCACTCAAGGCTAAGACATTCGCATGCTGGCACTGATTGATGTCCGATTCTGCCTAGGAGACTAGAATGGTGCTGGAATGTACTTTTAGGAAAGAGAAGTAAAAAAAAAAAATTAATAATTAAAAAATTGGTATGCTGATTAGTAAGCACAGATGTGTTGAATTTAGCTTCATCACTATTAGGGTTTAGTTGTAGTTTAACTTTGTTTTATTTAAACCTTATGTACCTTTAGTAAATCACTGTCTGTTCCTATCTATACAGGTGCTTGTTCTTCTTGACTACCTGTCCTCGCTGTCAGGATTTCTGCGTTCTTATGTTCTTTCCGATGCCAGTTTATTGATCCAAGATGATCTAATAAGGTCACTATTGACGACTTTAACTTTAGTACTCTTTACACACCATAAGAAAGCTTTGGGTATGTATTGTTATGCCTTACTACACTTGTCAGCTGAACAAACTCCAGTAAATAATATATTGAATAAGTTTAGGACTTAAGCTTCCCATAAACCTGCATATTTGGACACTCAAGACTTCCCCTTCTTGGTGATAGGCTGCCAGGTCTGCAACAGATTTGGTCATGTACAGGAATAGCCAAATCTTGTAGATATGAGAGATCGAAGCACTGACCTCTCATATTGTTTGCAGGAGAAAAGAAATGTTTTTACAAGTGTTGCATACATGTACAAATTGGATGGTTTCTTCTTCATGCCCACCCTAATTGTGTCTGAGTGATTAGCTTTTAAGCTGAATCTTTCCTTAGTGCTGAAATGCGGAAGTTGATGGTTAATTAATACATATATTATTGTATGTAGTAAGGAAAAGTCACAATGTTTGTCTTAATGGCATAAACAAAATGTATTACATTAAATAAACAGGTATGTTATCATAGATATACTGTATCTTCCTTATACATGATGATGCTTATTATGGGTAATTATAACAAATACAAAAGTCTTCATATAAATTATATTTTTTGCTTGCAATGTAGTGATGCTAATGTACAAGATGTCATCCTTAGCTAGAATTGCATCTTGGGGACAATTAATCAACTAGGATCTTATTTTAAGATAAACACTGCATTTTGATAGATGTTAGTGTTGGCTTGTCTTCTTCTTGGAGAGTTTCACATCTTCATTCCATAGTTAGGATCTTATCTTACCTTACACTGCTCGAGGCTGAATAGTTACCTAGCTTTCCACTAAATTGAATATATAGAGAAGTAATTTTATCTTCTATAATCCTTGGTGTATTTCAGTCATTATGCATGTGAATTTTAGTTTCAGCTCCATGCTCCAAAACCCAGAACCACAGATACCTTCAGTCTATAATAATGTCATCTGACTGCCCTCTGCTCCACTCTGTCACCATTGAGATAGCAGGGTTCTTACAATGTTCTAGCCGTCTGAAAGTAGAAAGTCTGTATGTGAGATGTAAACTCTATCAATTAACTTGCTTTGTAGAAAACTGGCACATGAAGAGGATGCACTCAATACAAACTTTATTTCTTAAGGCATTAAAAACGGCAAACAAAAAAGCTAACCTGTTTCAGCACTATACGTGGGCCTTAATCATAGCATGCTCCTTACCATCTTGTCTTGAATTGTATTGTAATTATAATGTCTTCCCTATATTGTAAAGCGCTGCGCAAACTGTTGGCTTTATATAAATCCTGCGTAATAATGTATAGGGCTGAAACGCTTTAACTTTTTTTGTTTGCTGTTTTTAATGCCTTAAGTAATAAAGTTTGTATTAAGTGGATCCTCTTCGTGTGCCGGTTTTCTACAATGCATTTCATGGGCTCTGGCAGAGAACGCAGTTCCAGTCTGTTTACTGAAATAGGAGGTTGAGCTGCTTTGATTTGTTTGTCTAGCAATTAACTTATCTAATGTTCTCCCTTTTAGTCTGTTAAATATACCATTGAAACAGTTTTGTTATATGTGTTCGATAAGTTATACTCACCTGATCTACAGAGTTAGCTTGTTCTTAGACCGGTCCTTCCTGCCTCTCTCCCCCTCTTCTGCAGTGGTCTAAGGTCCCATAAATCATCATGTTTTATACACTATGTATAGACATGAGGATGCTGAGGAAGATTCCAATGCTGCAGCATAGGAGAAGAGAGGCTATAGGGAGCGCTGTGACAGCTGGCTGGCTCGGAGCTTTGGGTGAGTATAACTTTATTTTTGACCCTAGACAAAAACAAGCATTTCATCCCTGCAGTGTGGGAGCAGCCCCACTGCAAGGGTTAATACAATTTTTTTCTTCTTTAAGATACACTTTAAGTTCTGCACACTTTACTGGTACTTGTAGCTGCAAAATAGACTGTTACTCTGTTTTGTCCATTTTATTCTCAAAATGAACCTGCAATAATTATGTAAGAACATGGTGACTTGTTAACGAGTGTTAATTAGGAGCAAGAAAAATTGTTATCTAATCTTGTTTCTGAATATAGCTACTATAAGTCGTATGGGCCCCCAGGGAGAAGTGGCATGGTGGAAGTATATGTACTCACACTGTTTCTATAATGAGTTGAAATACCTGTTTCCATTGATATTATCATAATCTGTGAGAGACTTGCCCACACATCACTATACAGGGGCTTAGGAACCCTAGGCACAACTTTATCGCTTTGGCTGAATGGTGGCGTGGCCTCACTATGTGAAGCTATCCTTCACTTTGTTATCCTGACTTCAATCCATAAAGTTTAATCTCTTGCTGCTCCCATAATATATGTTGTTTCATTGTAGAGTTCTTAATTAAAGTTGATAGGACTACCACCTTGCTCTAAGGGCAGCAGCTTGTGCAGCACAGGGAGTACAATTGGCAGGGGAAGTTCAGATTGATTTCAGTTGGGTTGCAAATACAAATTTTAGGTATCATTTTTTTTAAGGAAAAGCTGTTTTTTTCTGTCTGATTTAAACAAGATCCTAATTGGATTTACATAGTGTAAGGCTGCATGTTCCTAACTTGAAGGCACTAAAACTGCTGATTTTCAGCTACTAAAACAAATTAGTCAGCTATGGCAGAATTAATTTGAAAAGGTAAAGTGATGTCTGCATTGTTTCAGCCTGCACTGCAAAACGATGACCATATGTGGTAGATTTACTTCTATGCTTCTTGATTTCTTTGTTTTCCTGAATAATGTTAGCTTTGCATTACTGGTAATACTACATCTGCATTTCTATGCCCTGTTTGGACTTCCTAGGTGGTATTTCTTCTTGGCTGCACTTACAGTATTCCCAATAAAGGAGCTTATATTTTTGTAGACCTTCAGTCATCTCTTCTAACTTTAGCTTACAAAGTCTTTCTAGACACAAACTATTTCCTTATTTTTTTCAGATGCTGAGGTTAAAAATGCAATTTACCAAACACGGACAGACATATTTGTGTTGTTAACTACCTTATTAAGGACAAATGGTCCAGCTTTTATAGTTCGTATTACAGAAGCTGTGGCAAAGCATGGCAATGCATTCTTTGGTAAGACATGTCATTTTCTGCACCAGGCATATCATTGTTCATTTAATTAGATTTTAACAAAAAGTTTAATATTTGCATTTACATCTTCAATATATTTGTTGGCATGAACTTCCTTTCAAAAGTTCTTATAAGCTAAACAAATACCATTGTATTTATTCTGGAAACTCTGGATATATAGGAGCATTGGTAAGCAGTAGTCTGTATCTCATTTTTTTAAGAAATCCAGATTAGGGATTAGGTAGACAAGAGTATTTATTAGCTTATCTCTTTGCTTCTGGAGCAGATAACCAAATATCTAGTGCTGCTTGCACACAACGCTAGAGAAGCATATTCCTGCTGATACTGCCACTACAGTACATGCAAGTCCACCTGTCTCTGCAACCTGCATGCACTGTATCTCTATAGTAAATACACACTCCAATGCAGGTCTGCAGAATGCACTAATGAGGCAATAGGTGGGAAGGTCCTTGAAAGATGCCTCTCTTTTGCCTTTGTGCACGAAACTTATTTAAACCCTAAAAATAAACCTTTCTAATTTGCTCCTATTTGGGCTGTTAATATACTATGAAAGTGTTTTTTTATATCTGATTCATAAATTCAAATGCTTATAACTTCCTCTAGTGAACTGACACCTCTACTCTCTGTTATGGAAAAGAGGGGAGGCGCTCTGAAATCCAGGAGAGGTGAAAATAAATATAAAATCAACTAAAAAAAGAAAATAATGTAGCAGGACTATCTAAAGACCTGTAATCTGTAATGCATAATGTTTTTGCTCTTGGATTAAATATACTTTAAAGAAATTCAAAATTGTGCATTTCCACCATTGGTATCTTACAGCCAGAATGGAAGCTTTGGCCTGAGTGTCAGCAAATGTACAGTACATTTCCATGAACAATCTTCTAATTCATACACACATGAGGAAAGACCTAGAACAGGCAACACTTGGCATATGAATTATTACAAAGCAGATGTAAACCCTAACTGGATGACATTTACTTTTCTAAGGAACTGTGTAGTTAAATAATTATCATGTTTTTTTCTTATAGGTAATATTGTTTTCACCATTTTCTCAGCATTTGTTGCTTATCAGCACTGCTGTTCTCTTGCAGTCCTTTTGCATCTACCTCTCGTCTATAAGCATGCTCCCCTGAGGCTGCTGTCCGTAATTTCTTAGGGATGGGTTTTCTGATGGCGACAGTAATTAAATATGTCTGCCCAATGAGCACTGGCATAGCTGTTTACAGTCTCCACAGGAAGTACATGTGACAGGGTACTAACACAGAACAGCAATTGGGAGATAGGGGCAGAGTGTTGTCACCCTGTATCAGGAAGTGCCTAAACATGGTTCCCCATGTTCATTGAACCTTAAAAATCTATAGTCTAGAAAATATATACCCACAGTGTTTCTTTTTCTCATCTCAACTTTAATCAGAACTTCATGGTTCTGTCACTTTAGGCCCCTTTCACATGGGCTTTCTGATCAGGTCTGCCTGTCAGTTTTTCAGGCGGACCTGATCGGAAGCCTGATGTTATTGTATGGGCGGCCGGATCTAAACGGACGGGAATCTGTTTACATCCGGTTACCCCCATCTACGGCCAGGTCCAAAAAGAAAAATGGAACAGAGATCTATCTCACCAGACCCAATTGTGCTGGATTTCGGGTAACCGGATGTAAACAGACACCTGTCCTTTTAGATCTGGCTGCCCATACACTAACATGGGTTTGAGAATGTCAGTTTTTTTCCTCCATTGCAAGATGAAGCAAGAAAACTGCATGCACACGGATGTAACAACAGATCCAACTGTGTGAAAAGGTTGTAAATGTATACCCAAGTACTATACTATTATATACTCTATACTGTGCGGTTGCATTTTACAGAAAATGTGCACACTGATATTTTTTGATACTAGAAAGGATAAGGCAGTCTTTTTTCATGTCCTTACTAAAGGCAAACTTTCCACTGCAGTGCAAAATAATTTTGCTTGAGCTTATATAATATGCACTAAATGTGCTGTTTTTGTAATTTATTAAAACATGGTTGTGTAATGCTTTTTCCGCTTTACTCACCGCAGCAAATTGTTTAGCTTAAAATATTAGGCTAATTGTATGTGTTAGAAAATTGACCACACAAATCTTAAATGAACTTAGTTTGGCTGTTCCGGCCACATTGCAGGAGGAGACACATATTTTCATAGCATAGTTCCTTTGCTTGGGTGACAAGGCCTTACTTTGTAATTAGATAGAAAATGGATTCATTGTGTATGCTGGCAAGGTTGGAGTGGACTCCAAAGTGTAATTTGCAAATACTAGTCTGTAGAACATCCGCAAAGCATTTAACAGTCTTCAAGCAGATTTTTAAAAATCTGTAAAGAGACCCTGTTCATATTTAAAAAAATAAATGAAACAAGATCCATGCTGTAAAAGAGGAGATGTATAGTTATCTCTTTAATGGGCGGTGTGTTAAATCTCGGTCTCCTTGCAGAACTATGAGTGCCAGTGGTATCTTCAAGATGATAAAAGATAAGTCACCAGCATTCAAGAATTCAAGGTGCATAGTCTAAATATTATACATCTCACAGGTCATATAGCCCACATTTTGGGGCCACACAGGGTCCCTTCCCCACTGTGTCATCTTGAGGAAGAGACCCTGTGTGGCCCCCGAAACGTGGGCTGTATGACCTTAGTGATGTATTTACAATAGATTAGACATGTGCACCTTGAATGCTTGAGTGCTGGTGAATTCTGTTTTATCATCTTTGTCACTACAAGCACCGCCTTGCTTAAATCTGTCATAGCACTGCATGGACTGCAGGTGGTCTCTACATCACTTGCCAGTGGTATCTGACATATTACGTGTGTTGGATAGTGATGGGCTTGGGCGTGTTCACAAGCGCCTCGTGCCGAGCCTGCCAGGAAGCCGTCAGCGCGCAGGGCCAATCAAAGGCACTGAGACATGTTCCCGGTCCGCAGCTGCAGAGATCAGGAAATGTCTCAGTGCCTGTGATTGGCCCTGCGCGCTGACAGCTTCCTGGCGGGCTCGGCACGAGGCGCTTGCGAAGACGGCCGAGCCCATCGCTAGTGTTGGAAAGCTTGTTCCTTGCTGTAGGCTGTGTGGTTCCTACCACTGACCTGTGTGTCACTACAGAACTCATGGATCTGCAAGAGAGCACCCACCTGCTGGAGATGCATTGCATCTCTTCTTTTAACAGTGTATGCACTTTTTTTAAAATTGTGCAATAGAGTCATCTAAAAGCACATTCTAGCACCAGGCTAGGACCGCTGAATGCAGTTAGAGTTGTTATAACCCCATATTAAAACATCCCAGAGATGGCTAACAGCTGTAACTTAAACATTTGTTTGAGAGCCACTGACCTTCTGTACGCTGAACCCCACAACAGCTGTGTACTTCATTTCACGTCACCACTCACTCCACACCTCACCCTCCCAAACTGCATCAGCTATACAGAGGAACATGCTTCCCCAAGCAAGTGCTTGATATTTCCTTGTTATGTGCTAGGTGCAAGTAAGGGGGGAGTTGGACATTATTCAAAAAAGTTTATTTTACACAGCAGGTCTTCTTCTTTGTACTATAGCAGGTATTCTTAGACACTGTATAACTGTGCTGTTAAAACCCCCCAAATTATGTTCATAGCAAGACTTTAATTTCAGACTGAGTTCTGGTGTAGCCTTAAAGTACACATGTAATTCTTATAATAAGAAAATTATGGGGGCGGTCTTTGCTCGTCTCATAAGTTACCTGGCCATGTCTAGTTTTACTGTGTATAGGTCAATAACTAGGAATAGGTATTCAGCACATGGAAGGTCTGAAAAGTAGCAAAATTCCTACCTCTTTACTTTCTCCATGTTATTGACGCAGAAAGCAATAAAGCCAAAGTGTAAACCTGATGGTCGGGTAACCAGCATTTTTAGAAAGATAGTTTAGGAATGGTCGCCTGCATACTGCATTCTGCCACGGCAGGACTACTTTAAACAAGTTTGGGGGGGAGGGGGGGCGTTTAGCCAGGTACAAGGCCAGGTTTGATGCTTCTGTGATTAAGAATTTTCTGTATGTATTAGCAAAGTTCACAGTTTTGCGTTTACTTTTCACTAATTCTTACAATGAAAAGGCACTCGACAATCATTATTCAATGAAAATACAGGTATTGCTCTGGTTTAGTGAATTGAACCAATCGTGGTTGGTTTACTAAGGGAGTAGATGTATGTTCATTTTGTGAAGCAAATTTTCACTTCGCTTAGTGAATGAGGTGAAGCTGTGCAATCATGTGAGCAAATATGTGTGTTTTGTTTTCCTTGCACATGATTTTGAAGTTCATTTTCAGTTCAGTCTTATTCATTAAAGGTAGCCATAGACACCTCAAATTTCAGACAAGCTTTAAGGGTGCATTCACACCAAGATCAGAAGGAAATCGCAAATCAAAGGAGGGTCCGTTGACTTGCCGTTGTTCCTCCTGATCTGTTGTGTTGCAATACCTTTTCTAACAGATGCTATCGGAAGGGCACCTAAAAATGAATGGGTGTGAATGGGGCGAGTTCCCATCGAATCTGTTGAGTTACATTGTGCTGAAAAAAAGTAATGCATGTTCTACTTTTTTTCAGCACAATGTAATTCAATGGAATGGAGCAGTGTGAACTAGCCCCATGCACACCCATTCATTTTTTAGTGCCCTTCTGTTAGCATCCATTGACAAATGCATCACAACGCATTGCAATGCAATGGATCTGGTGTGAATGGACCCTAATTGAAAAATAGAAGGAATCGGATGAAAAATTGTCAGCCGAACAAATCAGATGAAGTAATTGTTCGGGTATTAAGACATCAGCAGGTTCTGGGAGATGGAGATTCCATCTTTAATGCTGTTTAGGATGGGTAAAGAAATCTACTAGTTTTCTTCCATTTAGCCTGCAGCTGAACGATATAAGGGCTTGTTCACATGCTCTCCAGTGCGTTCCAGCACGGTTAGTGGCTGGAACGCACTGGGTCGCCTAATTAAGCCTTCCTGCATTCTGGGGCAGGAGGGAGCCTGGTAGTGCCATTCAAGACAATTACACTGCAGCCACGTCTCCTGCCCCGCAGTACAATCACCCGCAGACGTGGCACAGCAATGCCCACGGTGCGATTGGAAACAATAGTGCATGCACTGGAGAGCGAGTGAACCGGCCCTTAATCTATGCATGTGTGGGTAGCCCAAGTTAAGTGAAAAGTGAATTTGCTCTACTACTTTATGAAATCAACGATCATGTGAGACAAGAAAACTGTGCACTGCACATGTTCATTTATTTATGTCTTTGGGCAACTAAAGTTAATGAATTAAAAAGCAAAAATAGCTTTTAAAGAAATAAATGCTTTATATAATTTTTTTAGGAATATAAAGGATAGGGATAATCTATTTGCTGCTCGGCTTTTGTCTTACTTAATTTAAGAGGCCCTTGTTTAATAATGTGTATTGTCTTGTTTGCCTTTGGTCTAGACTTGATGTCTGAGTGTGTAGCATTAGCTGGAAGCCACCCCAGTCTTTATTCGACCAGCTTGCAGTTTCTGTCAGTTCTTCTAGCAGAAGAAGAAAATCATCGCCTTCAGGAGTCACAGACAAGTACACCATTGCATTTGGTTTTAGATGGAAATCTGAAACTAGGGAACGGCCTGTGCAAAGTAATTTTACAGGTTAGTCTTTGCTGTGAGAAATGCTTTAATAGTTGTTCATACATTCTGAAGGTGGATAAATACTGTACATGTAATGTTATGTATAAGTAGTTAGCAGGTGTAATAATTGTGTACACAAATGTTTTGTGTTAAAATTGCCATTTGTAGAGTCCTTTCTCACTGGACATTCTGTCTGTAGATGTTTATGATGAGCTTGTTAGCTGCTCAGAGGTCAGAGCCCACCCAGAGATCCATAAAACCTGCACTCCGTGTAGAACAGAATGCAAAACCAATTTAACACAGAATGGATGGGAACAGAACATATGTTATTGTCCCCTGATAATGGCCATTTAGTACTTGCTACCAATGAGCCTGAATTTTGCCTAGCACACCATAAGTACATCCTTATGGGGCTTGCTGCCTGAGCTGCATTCAAAACGTGAACGAAACTCAGATCAACTAAGCATGGCCATAAGTAGAGTGTATGAAAACATCTTTAAAGTGAAACTAGACCCACCAATCTTATAGCCTCCCACAACAGTTACTTTTAAGTCATGCCAACTGTCAAGGTTGCCAGTGTGCTTATGTCAGCTCTCAACCAAACATTCAAGCCTTCAAATGGCTGGTCTCATAGCTGATTGCATGTGTAGCACCATGGCAACTGCAATCAAAAAACCCTCCTTGACTATAAAGGATGAGAGGCTCTAGTTCCACTTTTTCTTTTTGGTGCATACTTAAACCATTTAAAGTGTATTTAAGCCCAACTTGGTTTTTATTTTGGATAGGAATTACAACCCTTGCAAGGTTTTCATTGCAATCTGTGTCCCAGTTATGGAGACTGACCTTCCCTACTTGGTCTAGTGACCTGTCACTAGGATTGAAAGTAGGGGAAAATCCAAAAGTTTGACTTGGGAAAACCTTCCAATGGGGGCACTTGTTCTGGGGACAACTGTCTAAGAAGGCATTCACCTAACTTTGGAGAGATATCTTATCACTTCCTGTTTTCTTAACAGGACAGAAAGTGAAAGGAAATCTACCAAATGGGACACAGATGGCAAAAAACAGGATGGGTTAATCGTTCGCTACTCTGTCCAAAATTTAAAAAAATTAAAAGTTTTGTGACTAGTTTTCACATTTTATGGAACTCAACTGAAAATAACTAACTTTTAAAAAATGTACTCTCCCTGGTTTGTTTTCTTTGTAATATGAGCCTTGTATATTTAAATGTTTAATTACTTAATGTTCACAGCATGGTGGGACGGGTCTAGTGTTTTGGCATCTCAGTTCTTCCCAGTACTTCTAAAATCACTAATTTACACAAAAAAAGAATAAAGGAGTTTTAACTTTTTTCTGTGTGCTATGTATGTGTTATCTTACATTTCATGCATTTCAGTAAAAGGCCTAATGAGCAGCGGTAATGTTTAGTTGTCTCAATTAAATACTTAGCATATTATTTGATATAGAGCTATGAAGAGAAATCCTTGGAGGACCCTCTGAGGCAAGTGTGTGTGAATTCTTTAATCTCGCTGTTGGCTGTCAGCAGAAGTGCCCAGGTGTACAGTCTACAAGGTAAGCTTTTCATTTCTCTGTAATTACAATAAAAGCATAACATTCACCTTGTGCTCTTCATCTATTTATCCCCTTGTCTATGTGATGAAAGCGTAAGAGCAAGATTAAATATTTGCCTTACAATTGTAAGAGGCAGCTCATGTTGGAAGGAATTATGATGGATTTTTAAAAGATTCCAAAGGAATACATGGCTAATTTTAAGGAATAACTTTGGTCAAAACAAACCTTTTTTCTGGGATCTCCAGCTGCGGGGTTGCTTAGATCTCTCAGTAAAACCGACTGACAAATTTGTTTCAGTTCTTCAACCCAGGAGAGTTACTAATATGCAAATTAGGAGGTCTCCTAAACCAGACAACAACAATAACTTGTTGTATAAGCCTACACTTCTTTAACCACTTGAAGACCGGGGTGTTAAACCACCTTCCTGTCCAGACCATGTTTCAGTATTCAGCACTGAGGTACTTCGACATTTATTCAGTTGTGCAGCACTGTACCGAAATTAATTTGATATCCTTTTTTTGGGACAGATAGAGCTTTCTTTTGGTGGTATTTAATCACCACTGGGGTTTTTTATTTTTTACTATAAAAAGTACTGATAATTTCGGAAAACAACTTTTCCCCACAGTATGTTATGAGACATGTATTTGATAATAAAAAATATTTTGATTAAAGATGGTGCCAAGTCAGGTAAAAAGACACCAAACAACATGTCAAGTCTTAAAACTGTGTGCGCCCATGAAATAGAAAAAGCTACAATACCCAAAATTGCCCATAGACGACACTTTAAAAGCTTTTACCGCTCATAATTTTAGTGTTGGAATTCGTCGATTTTGCACATAGGCGCACAGACGCATGTTTGTGTTTGTAAGTGCGTGTACATGGGGGTGGTGGACTTTAAAAAAAATAATCTAAAAGGAGTTTTTTTTTTTTACTTTTTTTTTGTGACCTTATTTATTTTTTTTACACTTAACTCTATTGCTATCATATAGGGGCATGCATATAGGAAGCAATGTGATAGCACAGTGGTTCTTAACCTGTGTAACCTCAGGACCCACATTTGTCCTTGGCCATTAAGTAGCGACCCAAGTCGCACTGCAATGGACTGCACAGCATTGCAGTACCACGCGTTCCGGTGTGGAAAGTGGAAGACATGCAGCGACCCACTTTTGGGTCACGACCCACCAGTTGAGAACCAAGGTGATGCCAGATACAGTGACAGGTCCGATTTATGAAGACATTAGGGACCCTCAATGAAGCTCATAAAGCATAGATCTGCTTCACCAGCTTCTTCTCCAGCCATAGCAGCCGATTAAATCACAGACTGAAACCGAAAGTGATGTAATTCACATCACTTCTGCTTTCAGTGTTTGGAGGGGAGTTCAGCCGCTAGAAGTATGCTGATCTCTCTCCACTCTCAGTGCAGAGACCTGCCGTGACGGTCCCGGGCTCTGGTGTCCCCTGTGCAAGCGCGGGACCGGCACTGTAGGTCTCTGCTCTGCTGTCACAAGCCTGGGCAGTTCTAACAGAGCATAAGCAGAGGTTACCTTCAGTAGAAACCAAGTGTAAGAATGATCTGGTCCAGAAATGTAGGTAGGTAACGTTATAAGAACAAGACTTTTCCTTTCAAGGGTTTCTAAGGTAAAAACTAAAAATACATTTGTATTTTTATATTGAATTTTCATAAGTTCCTTCCCACTTCTAATAACCATATCAATCTAGAAGTTTGTAAACTCACTTATTGAAGATGCCAATAGAATGTACATCCTCAACAGGAAGTGCATATTCACTCAGCTGTGGGAAATGCACTTCCTTGTGTCAAAACTCTTGCAGACTCTGACTTCTGAACTACAATGCAACATCTGAACAATGTAACATTATCATTGCTTGCTAGAAGCAATGCATTATGGGATATGTAGCCTTGGGAAATTGAGATTACATTACATCAATCATCAAGGAAAGATGCAAAGCACACTGGGAATACAGGAAGTTGTGGAGAGTGATGGGCAGACGGAAGGCAGCACTTACTACATAAAAGGGATTTTTCTAAGTAAGCTTTGATTGCATTATCAAAAACAACAATAGTATGTTGTATTACAATGCTGATGTTATCACAGGATAGTGTGCGCTGTGACGTTAGAACTCTCTTTACGGTTGAGTTTGGTCCTGTGGGTATAAAAGCTTTGAGGGATGCGACTTGGCTTTCCAGGCGTAAATGTACACTAATCATAAATGTGGAAATTGTGAACTATTTTCTCTGCAAAGGATCAAGCTAATGATTGGTAAGATGCTACGTCTCGGCCTTCTACGTTTGCTGATGTGGTGGCATCTTGACTTTTTTAAGGAGAGTGAACAATTCCAGATTTACTGGGATGGAAGTCAATTCCAGTTTAGGTAAAGGAGGCAAACAATCAGACCAAATCATTGTTCCAACACATGGCTTTTTAAGCTAGAAGCAACAGGTCCCCTTGGATTTGTTGACCTGAATTAATTCAGCTTCTTTCTGTAGTAAGTGCTTTTGTACTTGTAAAGTTCAGAACTGGTATAATTTATCTTAATTACAATACAAGTCCAGTTGAATGTGACTAACTTCTACGAGCTTTACCGTGAACTAGATGAATGAAAACCTTCACAGAAAATGTATCTTTTTTTTTTTTAGATTTATGTCCTCATGCTAATAATTTAAGTGGTAACTAAATAATGGGATTTTTTTCACAATTGAATGTTAAACATAATACGTTTCCCTTTGTTTATTAACTCAAACGATGTTTGAGTTATACAGAACTATAGAGTTAAGAGGTAATTGTTACCTTCTTGTAAGTTTAAAAAATAATCATGCACTGGATAATCTGTGTTCAAATGCCTTGAGAAAGCTTGGGTCTGATTATGGAATGAACAAAGGAGGAACACTTTTTTGTAGCCTTGATGTTTGTATCATTATAAAGTGTTTAAAGCCAGTTGTAAGAGTAAAGAGCATTGAAGACCAGCTTCTATGGGCTGTAAACTATGGATATTGATAAATAAAGTGATCCTTCATGGCAGCTCCCCACTGTGTGTTTTCAACGTTCCCCGCTCAGATTGCTTTTAGAACTCAATAGTGCTGTATTTCCTGTGCTCATCAAAGGTTGAGCTTGGCCCTGGCCCATCACATTGAAGGATCACTAGAGAAGGTTTGGTTTGTGGGTGGGTGGTTGACCAAACTTGACTTTTAATCTCAAGGGCAGGGCCCTCCTTACCATCTTGTCTTGAATTGTATTGTGATTGTAATGTCTTCCTTATATTGTAAAGTGCTGCGCAAACTGTTGGCGCTATATATAAATCCTGTATAATAATAATGTGATGTAGACAAGGTAGAGAGAAGCAAATTGTGCATTGGATTACCCTTAACATTAGGATAAAACATAATAATTAAGATGTGTAAATTGGTTAAAATAGGTATCTCTTTCGTATACCTGCATTTCCCAGTTATCTAAAACAATTATAAAGAGTAAATGATTATAGCTGTTTATTTGTTTTCTAGTTCACTTTGTTGATTCCTGCACTGAAAAGTTGAAATACATTCATGCCCAGCTGAATCTTGAGTCCCTTCGACCAGGAAAATCACAAAAGAAAAAGGTGCTCATTCTGTCTACTTCACAAACAACCAGCTTGTTTTAAGGCAATTCAAGAAAATATGATTGCATGTAAAAAAAACGACTATGATCAGCTATGCTTATGAGACATAAACATACAGATGTGCATGGGGATATGTCTTGTGCTATCTAATTGGCTACAACAAAGACAAGAAATACCAGGGTTTATGAGAGATATGACACCATGGCTTGAAGTTTGATAGAAAAAACAAATAATTTCTATTTTTACATATTTATAGATAACATATGTGTTACAATGTACATACAAACAAGGATAAAATAAAAAAAGGGGCAACAAACAGTTGCGACCAAATTTAAAAAAATATATAACAATGTTCAAACCCAGATCATATACCCATTAGGCATATATGGACAGAACCATTGAAAATCAATACATTGTATATGTGCTATCTAATACCATTTATTTAATTGCACTGGGTGATGATAGAGGGCATACTGGGATAAGATAGGGGTCAAGTAAAGACACCTGGAAGCAGCAGATCACACTGGTGAGAACAACAGCCAGGCTTAATGATTTACAAAGAAATCTTCACAGACCCATTTGCTAGTTTCCCCCGTGATGGCGTAACAGTAGATTGTACTTAAGCTGCACAGGTTACATCACTTACACTTGACTGACATTTTTAATAGCAGTGTCATGGAGTAATTTATCTCCTCTTACTAATTTAATACACAGCATAGGTGTGCACCAAACAGTGTTTAAACGTATACATTCACCTCTTGGGGCACACTAAATCAATAAATTGAGTTCCAGAAACTGCTTACTAGTAGCCCTAGTACTAGAAGCCCTGATGATACTCCCTATGTGAAGAGCTGTATTTACATCACCTCTGCGACCATACCCACCCTTCATTCCCAACCCAGCAAAGCCAGGCTTCCCTTAATCGCACCTTACAGCATTTGCTCAGCCTTAGACTGTACCTACACACTTCCCATTGGTAGTTGCACAGGGATACTCTCCCATTCTTGATTGCCATGTTTTTGTAAAGTGGCTCTGTCAACTAGACATGTACAAATGAAGCCATACTTTGAATTTTGAGAGTGCTCCTACCTGATTTGTGCAACTCTGCTTTCATCAAGTGTCATTGGATGCCACAAGTCAAGTATCATCTTTACTAAAGGACACCTGAGAAATGTGGTGGCTGCCATTGCTGACCACTGGAGATGAGCCTGGGTTTGGTGTGAAACCAGTTTGCCTGAGTTACCTCCAAACTGACCACCAGTCCCCCATCCTTGCCCGATCAGTGGCAGCAGTAGCACCCCTCGTCCCTTTGTGACATATAGCTGGAGGGCGGGGAATGTGCCTCTCCACAACTAATCTGGTTGTAAGGGTGGTGGCAGTCACTGCTTTGAGCGGGCTTGGGTGAACTCAGACAATCTGGGTTCAAACCAGGCTCATCACTACTGACCACTGCTCCTGAAATTGCTCATTCCCTAGCTGCTTTGCCAATTCTTTGGTTTTAGTACTTTACCACCAACACGTAACTGGTATAGAAATAAAGAAACTCTGCCTTTTCTCAAACTTAACTTGCTTATTCTGTGTCTGCGACTTCAAAGTATTGAAACTGGTCAATCCAGGAAATTAACATTTTCAGGAGGGGGTCAGTGATGTTAGCTAGCTTTCCCTAATGAGAGATGTACTTCAAACATAACATTAGCCTGATTTTTAAAAAATGTTAGTCCTGAGTTTAATTTTATAGTCCCTAATCACATTCAAACATGCTTCGCAGGTTTAAACGTGATTGGTGATAGAAGAAAAGAGGGAGGGAGTCAATACAGCCTATGTTATGGGAAGTATACTCCCATAGATACTAAAAGGTGCTGCAGGAAATTACAGAGATCTCAGACTAAGAAAAACTGTAGAAACATAGTTGCAGTGTTTTCTGCCTAGCATAAATACGTTATTGTTGCCCAGAGTTACTTTATACAATACTATTGTTTTACAACCCTCAACTGTGGATTTGATATTTGTTGACCTCGGGGCCTTGGAAGTAATTCAGGCAAGCCGTTCTGGCTGGCTCCCCACAGGATACCCATCTTTGGAGATGTGTACGTCAATGTACTTTTGAACTGTTTAAACATGTTCCTGTTTATCTGATCTCTTATATGGCCTGTATTCATTTTATCCATTTATATATTTATCAGTTTCCTATGAAGTCAGTTGCATCAATGTTATTCTCAGGAAGTGGTTAGAATTTTATAGAAAGGCATTCTTTAGAAACTCCCTGATGACGACTTATTTGTATTATAAGGAACTGCATTCTTAAACATAGCCCCTGGCTCATCACCTGGGATTGCAATTTTCAATTCAGTATTGATCTTTTATTTTATTTTGTTTTATAAGCTACTGGTGAAACAGCTTGGAACTTTTTTTCTAAAAGGGTCCAAAACTGAGCGAATAAAGATGGCCATAGACCATAAAACCTAGGTACTCAGCTCTACATATGCTATATGTCTGCATTTTTTGTACACTTTGAACCACAGATTTGACTGTTGTACCTTGGTACATTTTTTTTTTTTTTTTTTTAAATGTGGATGGATTCTACATTGCCAATATGAACATACGACATGTATAGCGAAAGGAAGACAGCAGAGGAATAGTCATTCCATTCTCAATAAGACTGTAGTGTTCGGCTTCAAATTCTCTTTTAGCCTTTACCCTCACATGGCATGATTTGTGCCTAACGTTTACTGGGATATGTTAAAATTATTTTGTCTCTGTTTCCAGCCTCACACTCTAGGGCACTGTATTAGCAGAGCCGAGTGACATCCACATGCCTTAACACAAGCTTTCTCACACAGACCTGCATTTCATAGGGACGGTGGTGTGCCTGGCAGTTCTGTTACATTATAGATTGCAGTGGATCTAAGTCTGGTGCCTATGTAACTGTATAGTCATATTTAGATGCCCTGTCCAGTTGCTGTAATAGAAGAGTGTAAGTAATACAAAGTCTAGCTGACTGCATACCTATTTCTGTCATTTAAATCGGGCTTTAAGTTAGAAAACGATGTCTGTGGTTACAGGTGACAGCAGCACACCTATAACCCATAACCGAAGCTGGCTCAGGGTAACCCTTTGCCAGAGCTGATGGATCTTTTGGTGGCCGTAATAGGTTAGTTAAAAATCACTTCTCTGCTTTCCATGCATGTGATGAATGGCTCTACCTAGCCCAACATACTTCTGCTACTATATGTTAGAATGGTTTATCCTTAGGCAGCATGACACCTTAATTTAGATCACTAACCACTGGGTTAGCTATCATGCTTTATGCGTTTATTGCTTTGATGTTTACTGAATTTGAATTACTTTCTTTTAGGAGGAAAGTTATTTGAAGCAGTTAAAGGTGACGATGCATCTTCTAAGGAACTGTCTGTATAAAAATGAGGAGTGCAAAGTAAGTGCTATTTGTTAGCATCATCCTCATACCGTTAATGCATGTCATAGCATCAACTGCGGGTACTGTTTCCATCAACTTGCCTTCCTGTGCCTTATACTACATAACTGGACACTGATTATATCTTCAGTGAAAGAAAAAGACAAGTTGTTTAATGTGTGCAGTACTACAATATATGCAGAATAAGACAGAAGCCATGCACTGCAAAGTTCAGGAAACAAAACCACAAGCAGAAACACTAAAACAAGGTCTAAAATGCTGACGTATGAAGTATGCTGATGAGTTGTGTGCGTACAAAATAATTTTTGCCTTTTTACTGTCTCCTGATAAAAGATCACTAGCACTAGTCCATGAACAGCATTTCATAAACTGACAAAGATACATGATGGAAATAGGGTGACAATCAACTTGTATTATTATTTCTAGGTTCATCTGTTGTCGTTGTTTTGCCCAGTTACCATTTGAATATTTTTAAGATTTCAGTCCCCAATGGGCAAAATGGTGAATATGGATGCCTTTTATGTTTATATTACAAGCATGGCAGCTTTTCAAAATGTGCTCAGCTACTCTGTTACTAATCTGCTAAAAGACAAATATGATAGACCTCATCAGTTTATGTTGCATCTGCTTAATCATGTAGGGATTGCAGGCTATGTGGCCTGAGCAGGTCAGACCCAACCTTCCTTTGGGCAACCACAAACTGCACTTCTTTAGGGGGATTCTAAGTCCCCGTTCACACCTAAGTGTTCCGTGAACGTAGTATTCCTGTAGCAGAATCTGCTATAAGAGCTACTTTCCTGCGTTTGTCATTTCAATCAAGGGGCGCCAGTCGGCAAACGCGATGCACATAGCCGTTATGCTGAGGTGAGAAGGGAACGTAAGGCCTTATATTCACGCAATGGTTTTATGTCTGGAGGTGGCTTCCTGTGCTAAGAATCTGCAGATTCTTGTGACAAGACTGTCAGGTGGCTCTGGACTGCTGCGGAATCTCAGGCCCCATGGAACCAGACGATTCAGTGTTCACTTGTATATTATATACATATATAGATATATATATATATATTCATCTATATATATATATCTATATCTACATATATAGTTATATAGCCAAAAGTATTGGGATGCCTGCCTTTACACGCACATGAACTTTAATAGCATTCCAGTCTTAGTCCATAGGGTTCAATATTGAGTTGGCCCACTCTTTGCAGCTATAACAGCTTCAACTCTTCTGGGAAGGCCGTCCACAAGGTTTAGGAGTGTGTCTATGGGAATGTTTGACCATTCTTCCAGAAGCGAATTTGTGAGGCCAGGTACTGCTGTTAGATGAGATGGATGGCTCACAGTCTCCGCTCTAACTCATCCCAAAGGTGTTCTATCGGGTTCAAGTTAGGACTTTGTGCAGGCCAGTCTCGCTCACTCGCTCATCGATGTCTTTATGGAAATTGCTTTGTGCACTGGTTATCAGTTATGTTGGAACAGGAAGGGGCCATCCCTAAACTGTTCCCACAAATTTGGGAACATGAAATTGTCCAAAATGTCTTGTTATGCTGATGCCTTAAGAGTTCCCTTCACTGGAACTAAGGGGGCCAAGCCCAACCCCTGAAAAACAGCACCACACCATAATCCCCCCTCCACCAAACTTTACACTTGGCTCAATGCAGTCAGGCAAGTACCATTCTCCTGGCCACCGCTAAACCCAGGCCCATCCATCGGATTTCCAGACAGAGAAGTGTGATCCGTCACTCCAGAGAACACGTCTCCACTTCTCTAGAGTCCAGTGGAGGCGTGCTTTACACCACTGCATCCGACGGTTTACATTGCACTTTATGATTTAAGGTTTGGATGCACCTGCTCGGCCATGGAAACCCATTCCATGAAGCTCTCTACACACTGTTGTTGTGCCAATCTGAAGGTCACACGAAGTTTGGAGGTCTGTAGCTATTGACTCTGCAGACAGTTGGCGAATTTTGCGCACTGTGTGCTTCAGCATGCGCTGACCCCACTCTGTCATTTCAACGTGCCCTACCACTTCGTGGCTGAGTTGCTGTTGTTCCCAGTTGCTTCCACTTTGTTCTAATCCCACTAACAGTTGACCGCGGAATATTTAGTAGCAAGGAAATTTCATGGATGGACTTATTGCACAGGTGGCAACCTATAACGGTACCACGCTTGAATTCACTAAGCTCCTGAAAGCGACCCATTCTTTCACAAATGTTTGTAGAATCAGTCTGCATGCCTAGGTGCTTGACTTTATACACATGTGGCCATGGAGGTGATTGGAACACCTGAATCCAATGATTTCACAGGGTGTCCCAATACTTTTGGTAATAGTGTATATATGATATGTGTATGTGCTTTTATTAAGTAATGGGCCTTATTTAATTGATTTGGTGCACACTGCTCCTTATTTGAGTAGACATTTACTTGTTTTCATAAAGATTATTGCTTTCATATTTCACATTGTGTTTTTTTCTGATTTAGAATGAAAGATGTGCTGTAAAAGCTGTTTTTCATTAACTGCTGAATTTCACTGTGCATTGGACTTAAATAGAAGAACACAGCTATAGATGTTAATTTGTTGTGTTTGCCCTATTTCCAAATGGGCACCGTGTAGTGTTCTGTTTGCACACTGGCAAGGGTAGGGAAAGCAGAAAAGATTAACAGTTTTCCACTGACTCAGTGCCATCTGTTTCACAATATTGACAGTTTTTCCCTTAAATCTTTTTGTCGATGTACGTTATCAGTTATCTAGCAGATTGTTGTAAACAAAAACACTTTTTTTCCTAATCATAATGAAAATCATTGCTTAAGGGTATAGGAGAAAGTAAGAGCTGTGATATGTGACAATCCATTGTATGGTCTAGACAACAAACTGGACAGAAGAGGTTACATAACACATATATCTTTGTTTAACCACTTGAGTACCAGCCTGTATATATCCCTTCTTTACCAGGCCAGCCATTTTTCAGTGTTGTGATAGTTTACTGACAATAACTCAGTTGTGCAACACTGTAAAACAAATGTTTTTATCTTTGTTTTTGAGACAGCTAAAACTTTATTTTGGTGCTATTCAGTAATTACTGTCTCTTTTACTGTATAACGGACTAAAATGCCAGGACAGTACGAACAACTCCAAAAGTATACCCCCCAAGGTGATCCAATTTTTGGCACAATTTTTTGAAAATAAAAAAAAACATGCGGTTATTGATGATGTGGTTAAACATGGAGCTTGGTAATGGCGCACTAGATACTTTGCAATATTCATGCACAGATTATTTTACAGAGGGAGGAGGAGGTGAAGGGGTTAATGAACAAGTTGCATACTGTGAAAGGATGCAGATGAGGGTGCTAATGTGCAAAATAAGGGAGGTCATGATGGTAATATACAGGCACGAGATTGCACGGAGATGAGATGCACAAAAGAGGATGGGGGTAAGAACGTTAAAAAAAAAAAGCACTCCCACAATTAAATGTATTTGAACCGCACCTTGAATTTGCTGCTTCCTGATTCCCTAGGATCCCGTCATTCATTAGCTTCTCCTTCTTCCCTTCTCCTGTTGTGAGAGGAAGGCGAGGGCTCTGAAAGGTAAACACTTGCATTGTTTACATTTGTGATTGGTAATCACAAGGCCACTCTGCATTTTGCCTATGATCTGCACTGTCTAATGACAGATGAAGAGTGCATTGTGGGCTCGATCAGCATCTGGCTTTAAAAATGTCTTAAACACTCCAACAGGGAGTTATCTCTGTTATTGTTCCTGCCCAGCTGGGAGTTTTGTTCCCACCCATGTGTTACAGCACTTCCATTTGCATTCTCCATAATATAAAAAAAAATAAAGTATCCAACAAAGAGAGTAGGAACCTCTAAATAGTCACAAAAGGTTTGCAGACTAAAGAAAAGCAAAGATCTCACCGATAGAATCCATGTGAGATATAAGACATTGTTGGATGGTTTTCCTCTCTAGCTTCCCCAAAAATCACCTCTGTGGACTGACTCATCAGGCCTGGTTCACACTGAGCGTATTGTCACAGCAGATTCAGCCTGACCAAAAGCTTCACCGAAAATATCCGATTCATTTATATGGCCCCTGTGCACACTTAAGTGTTTTGTCGCAATAGGCAAAATGCCTGTCCCCCGAAAAAGTACATGAGCTTCTTTTTGGCAAGTCTCAGCTCATTTTGGCCCCATATCCTCAATAGGTAACACTTGAAAACGTGCATAGCAATTAGTTTTGCGTGTTTTTACGCACATATGCACGTGTTTTGTTCATTGTAGCATAATCACTATCACTGTTCTCCTGTTCACTGTTCTCCTTCTGAGGCTGTAGAACTGCACTTCCCGAATTACCCTGTAGGAATGTATGGCCCTTCTATATAACATAGCCTCTAGAAGACAATAGACCCAGAGCACCATGTTATGGATGTCTCACCTGGGGTTCAGAGGTATATTGGGGTAGTTCCATACTTCCACCTTTACTACCACATTTTTTTTTGCAAATAGCTGTTTTGGCATGTCTGAAAAACTATTTATATGTGTCAAAGTTGTTTTCCACCCTGTGTCTTGTTGGGGCAATAAATTCTCCTTAATTAACCCATGCAAACCCCATCAGTGGAAACAGCAATCGGGCGTGGTTGACAGTGATTTCACCTTCATTATTTCTGTACTACATTTCTCATAACCCTTGCAACAATGTTTCACTGTTTTGGGTGTGTGCTAGTCCAATCAGGGAAAACAAATAAGCAGCTCTGGAAGGAAAATCAATAACATATCACCCCTGTGTACACATATTCCCAGCTGTTCAGATCCCCCCACAGCATAGCATTCTCATGCATACACATCCCTGGCAGCTTAGCTCCCTGCTGTACAAACATCCCCAACTCCCAAGTCTTATTGCTTATGCACAGGATAGCGAGGAAAGGAGGGGTAAAGGAAGCTGCTGTCTGCTACTACAATAACATACAGATATCTCTTTGCTGACTGGTTGTCAAGGAATGGCGATGCAGCTTTGTGTGGCGAAAAGTGAAGAGGTGCACTATCACACCATGTGAAAGGAGATCAGTGATGGCTCCTGTGTGCACCCCAACGTATATGTTACCAAAACGCTGTATGACATCTTGCTAATAGGGTCAGAGAATCTGACAAGCCGCACAATGTGCCGGTGGACACACAGGGGTTGTACCATTCAGGGTGGAGGCATATACTCGCTGCAGTGGAAACATTTTTTTAATTTACTGATTATTTTGCAACTAAATGAGCTGAAGGACATTATATAATTCATTATTTTATTGTTATAGACTTTGACTTATTAAAAATAAACTAATTCGACTAATTAAAAATTATAATTAAACTGATTGTACTAAGCTCTGCTACTTCTTGTTCTTACTCGTATATTTGGGTGTACATACAATTTCAACTGGCTGCTTGTGGTAATTTTATTACCTCTGTTTCCTTAAGCATGTGTTGTGAAGTAGCCCCCGCTTCAAGCTCGCCCTCCCATGATGGACTACAATCTCATGTTTAGTTTACTAATTTGTATTGAGATTGTAGTCCATCACAGGAGTGAGCTTGCAGCGGTGGCTACTATACAACACACAGGGACCATGGGGAACAAAAGTAGCCACCCTCCAGAAGGAAGGACAGTGTCAGCACCAATTCAGGGATGATTTGAGGATCTACAGCTGAGTGATACACAAATAAGATAAATTTTTGTTAATAGTTAATGTACTTTAAATGTATTTATAAGTTTTAACTCCTGAGTTTAGTGTCACTTTAAATCACATCCATAACATTTGCGTTTTCTGTTAAAATTGGATTCGAATTTCTGAAATGACTGTACTGGAAAATTCTGTGTAAAATACCTTGTCAAAGGTTATTTAAATACAGTAATGGACAATAGCGGCACTTGTATCTGAACTAATTTCCAGCTATTTAGTCACTATAATTACATTATTACGGGCAGGTTTATAGCATGCATTGTCATTTGTATCATTATTTGACTGCCATTCTCCATCTATAAATTATCCATGGTTCTCTTTGGAATAGCTGGGCTGATTGCTGTGAATCTCTAGTTCATAGTAGTTCTCTTCATTAGAGAAAGCCCCTCAGGGAGGATAGTAGTGTTTTATGTCTGCAAATCTTGAGTGGTAGAATATAGCATACATTTTGTTTTTATTGAATGTTTCCTTCGCAAGGCAGGCGCTCAAGAGTGTCAGCTTTCTCCGGTGCTGCATTCTCTATGGCCATGGCTTTTGATGGATGACGCATTGATGCACGGTGCTTTGCAATTACTTTGTGTCTTCACTGCAAACTTTCCCGCAGGTAAGGAAAAAGATGAACAAAGTCTTTGTGCTCCTATATCTATCACAACTAAATTTCATTTCATAACTGTAACTGAAAACCTGATGGGTTATAAGCTCTCTATCTCACTCACTGCTTGGGTGTTAAGATGCAGCATTTATTTATTGCTTAGCTCGGTGGCCGTTTTTCACTGCATCGGTGATTCACTTTGTACAAGTCCACCCACGCTGTCTTAATTTCACTGTCTCCCTTTCTTCTGGCATGCAGTAACTTGCAATGATTAGACAAGGAGTAGCCACAACCGCCAAATCATTCTAATTAAGGAAAATATATGTTGAATAATGGCAAACGAATACAGCTTTGAGACATTTCAAATTTAGCACTCATTCTTAGAAAATGTTTTGGGTTTTTTTAGAAATGATTATTGAGGTTGACCATTTTGGAAAAATTGCAACCGTTCCATGCTGTCCCTGTGCTTCTACCTGCCAAGCACATGTGGGAAAATTAGAATTTATAGCTTTAATATTAAACAAGGTAAGAATAGGATACATTTTATATAAAAAAAACTTCCTCTTGGATGGAGTGTTTAGGATCTTATTCACATGGGCTTCAGCTTGTATAAGTGCAGTGTGCACAGCAAGCTTTGAGCAGCTTTGTGGAAGCCTTTAAAGCAGGGCTGGACAAATCCCAGGAGCCAGGTAACCAATGCCCCTTAAACATTACAGCTGGCACCTAACTTTTGAGGTTTTCGTTAGTTGTGGTCAATGGAGCTGGCACCTAAAACAAAAATACTGCTGGCTCCTGAATTCCATCATCATTTTTCCACCCCTGCTTTAAAGCACCATTCAGCTGCAGTATGGGGAGCTTAAGTATAGAGCTTAATGGACATTCTGACTGTCAAACAAGTAGCTAGCAGGCTTTTGTAGCCTTCAACACAACGTTATGCTTGTGCAAGTCGACTGTCACAAACTACTTTTGTCCTCAGTAAATATAATCGCATTGTATTTTAAAAAAAATGTTTAAAAAATTAGTTTTCCCCTTGCTTTGTTCATATTTTCTCCCCGAACTGTGCACATCCTGTAGACTGTTTTTATGAACTTGGACACATGCACACTCTAGCAGCAGCTGAACAGTGTTTTCCTACAGTGCCTATGGCAGAGTTTTCCAGCACAATGCGCAATAGTATGGCTGCTGGTAGTCAAACACAAGATAGCACAGGAAAGGGTGACGATAATGCAGTGACAATAATGCAGATAATGCGCTTTAGAAAAGGAAGTGTTTATAGATACACCTTGCTGGTAGGATTTAATTAAAACACGGGAAAAAAAAGATTTAAACATTTTGACCTTATAAGGAACATGTGTAACATTTTTGGGTTTGGATTCAGATAAATATTAAAGTGTTATTCAGCGCTCCCATGATGAGCAGTTTTAACATCCTTGTACTGAAACTGAAATTTTCTTTAACCCTTTCGCTGCCAAGGACGTATGGCATACGGAGCTACAAAAGTGCTTCCAGCTGGCCAGCTCAGTATGCCGTATGGACCTGGCATTTACAGTTCTACTATAAGCTGATGGTCGCTTTAGCGACCATCAGCTTATAGTAGAACTGTTCAGCAGACTGTCCCCTTTAAATTAATAGCTGTCATCAGCGGCTCACAAGCCGCTGATGACTGCTAACCAACTTCGGGAGCTGTACGGGCTCAAGTGAATAGCCCGTACAGCAGCCCTTCAGTTCTACTCAGCCGAAGGGGTCCTGGGTCTACTTCAGTTCTACTCAACCGAAGGGGTCCATAGTACTATGTGTCCTCAGTTATGAATGAACAGGCTGTAAGCTTTGTGACTCATTGCCATGCATTGTGATACCTTGTGTTGCAATTAAATATACACCTGTATCATTTTATCACAACACAAACACCAAAACAATTTTTTACATAAGTCGATTATTTACCGTTTTGCATACCTTCATTTTTTTACCTTTTCGCAAAAAGCCGCAATTACAAATTTGCTAATATTTGTTATTTATTAACTCAATACAGTTTTATCTTAGATTTAGTCCGAAAATAATTTTTTTTGTGCACTGATACTGATTTTGGTGTGTTTTAACAATTGTGTATTTTTATCGGTTTAATATTGATTTGAGAAACATTTGCGCAATTATCGCAGGGCCTACAAATTTAGTATCACCATCTTTTTATTCTACCGGGCCTGCGCTTTCAGAAAATATATGGTTTGGGGGGTCTTTTACAAATGCTAGCAACGCAGCAGTTGAAAATCAAATCAATAGGAAAAAATTGCAGAAAATTCAAAAATGGCTTGGCCAGCTGATTTGAAAAATGTTCCGGAGGGCTTGGCAGCGAAAGGGTTAAAAGCTTCAACAAAGTTGCTTGAGACTTGCAGAAGCTTCCTGTACACAGTGCTCATTTACAAGCTGAAGGTCCTAAAGTTTTACCTACTTTGCTCCATTTATTCTGTGCCGTCCGTAGAGGAAAGATAAAAAGGCAGTACAGTGACTATATGCAGATTTTAGTAGCAAATAACAATCAGAATTTTTAGTTGTTGTCGTATTTGGCTATTTACCCTATTAAGTAAGCCAATATATGTTGTGCTTCCAAACTGAAATGATTATTAAAATGTCCTTTCTTTTTGTTGGGGAAAGCTTGCAGCTCCCTATGTTGGGTAAACGCTGGAGTCATGGCTATCCAGTCATCACAGAAATCACAGACAAGCAGCTCACTATTACATAGCATTTTAAAGATTGCCGCAGAGCCAACTTCTTACACCAGCCACACACAACAAGAACTCTTTGGTCTACTTTCAAATTTGTCTGGCACACAAGACTGCAAGTGTATTATGCAGAAGGTATGGCGGTTTGAATTACCTGGTTGAATCCCAGATGCTGGGTTTAGTATTAAAGCAGTACTAAAGGCTAGGTGTTTTTAACCTTAATGCATTCTCTGCATTAAGGCAAAAAACACCCAGTACTTTTCTAAAACCCCGTCCCCCCTCACTTACCTCCAGCCGCATGTTTCCTCTGCCACGACCAAGAGGATAACTTCCTGGTTTTGGAGGAGGGTACTGAGGGCAGAGGAGCCATAGGCTCCTTCTGCCGTAAGTCAAACTGTGACTGCAAGTGTAGGGGCGTGGCCGGCCGCACGTTGTGTGTGTGTGTCTATACAGGTGAAACTCGAATAATTAGAATATCGCGCAAAGTTGATTTATTTCACTAATGCAACTTAAAAGGTGAAAATAATATATGAGATAGACTCATTACATGCAAAGCAAGATAATTCAAGCCGTGATTTGTCATAATTGTGATGAGTATGGCTTACAGCTCATGAAAACCCCAAGAGCCCCAAATCCACAACCTTAAAAAAGTAGATTATTACATGCAATCAATAAAACAAGGATTGTACATAGAACAATATCGGACCTCTGAAAAGTACAAGCATGCATATGTACTCAGTACTTGGTTTGGGCCCCTTTTGCAGCACTTACTGCAATTACTTTTGCACGATATTCTAATTATTCGAGTTTCACCTGTAGATGTACACAGCTAGGAGTGGGTACGGCCACCTCCACAGCAGCCGGTTAGCTGATGAAGGTACCCATACAGGGGAGGTGGGGCTAGCGTTTTGGATACCACTAGAGAATGAGGAAATAACAAAAATTTCAGAATAAAAGAAAGTTGTTTTTTTTTATAGTAAATCTGGTCCCCATAAAGAAAAGTAAAAAAAAAAAAAAAAGACAAGGTTTATTGTCTTTTTTGGACTGGGTATTTTGGAGGTATAGTATTTGTATTTATAGTGTTAATATACTAAGATTTATATATATATCTAGATATAAAGATCTATATATCTAGATATATAGTATAAATTTGCTCAAGATCTCATGGAATTAAGTACTGTTAATAATTTAAGCATTCATATTTTACTGTAGATAACTGATGCCTCTAAGAATTTTTTCCAGTGATATGTACATTTTTGCAACAGCCTCTATTGGATAACAGTGATAATTTAGGTCGTTATAACAGATAATGGCTGGAAATGTAGCACTATGGTACAGCAGATAATGGCATTGGAACAAGCTTCTGTGGATAATGTTATTGATTAATGAAGCAGATTAAAGATGACTACACTTTTCTTTTTGCAGAATAATTTTCTACAGCACTTTCTGTGTTTATCGTTACCAAAAGGAGGAAATAAGAGCCTTAGTCATTTAGCTAACCTGTGGCTTAAATTTCTGTGGAACTTGTCTTTATCCAATGATGGTCAGCTGATGATCATGAAGATGAAAGGAAGCTTAGAAATTCTTCTTGAACTTACAAAATATAAGCAGAAAGTAAAATTCCCCATGGCCCTTCTTATTTTACATAACATCTGCTTCAATCCAGCCAATAAACCCAAGATACTTTCCAATGGTAAGCACAGAGTTTATGGTGCCGTAAGTTGTTGAACTAATGTTTTAAGTCTCCACTTTCCTGGCATTTTTTATTGTTTGTTCACAAACTACTTAGACATTTCTATGTATGTAGTCCCAACTTCAGTCACTTTCAAACCATGTTTTTTCAAAATGATGAAGAGTGAAGATTTGAATTTAATAGGTCGATACAGTACAATACCTATGTTGTCAGCTATTACATGTTGAAGGCTTGGTGTACTGTCCAAATTTGTTTCTGTCTAAATTGCTTTGTACTGCCACTAAATTAATTAAATTAGGTTCCATCCAAAAGTCACTACAAGTAGGTACAATTTTGTGATTATGCTGATGTTCTTAACCCAAAACTTTATTATTCTCTATGGATTTTTTTTTAGTTCAGTGTAGCACAGACACTATAACACTATGGGGGTGATTTACTAACCTAAACACACACACACACCAGGTGTGTGTGATTTTCACACAGCAAAATGTATTTATCAACCAAAAAGTCTTTAAAAGCATATTTCCACTAATGCCATATATGTAAAAATCATGCACATGATGCATATATAATGCTGCTTCACAGTTTAGACAAAAATGGTTAGCTCATGCATTTACATTCCTGCATTCATCAACGCAAGCAACACAACATAGTGCTAATTTACCCAACATCACCTTGGAATTCCTTCAGGGCTTTGCACAACACACCTGCTGGGTGTGTACACATTACAAAGGTGTTTAGATTCCACCCATAGATCATGCTGGGAGGGAACACACTGCAGAGGTGTATACACGTTCGTGGTGTGTTTTTATAAGGTTAGTAAATCAACCCCTATGTCTTGAAATGCTTACAAGGGACCTGTCAGAGTTACAAACTCACATACTTACTGAAGCCATTTTAATCACAACTAGTTTATATGCTAATGTTGTTTTAGGATATGGACAGGTATAAGCAAATCGTAGAAAATTCATGTTGACAGTTATTGGGAAGAACTTGGCTGAGATTCTCTCTGCCAGGCAAACTACTTTTGCACTCTAGTAGATATGTATAATACATTTACTGAGGGATCCTTTTCTAGTGCCCTATACCAGCGGTCGCCAACCTTTCGGACCTCATGGACCACTAAATTCATCATTTTAAATCCTGCTGACCACTAATATATGAATTTTTTTAAATATATATATTCTCATATTTTTTGTTTCCTCATATATACATATATTCAGGAGCCCGCACTGTACTGTACTGCACATTCCTTGTGACAGCTGCTGCTTGAGTCAGCGAGAGGCAGCCCCGGAGCTTCCGTGCCGCTTTAATGAAGGCCCAGCCTGTACGGCATCAGAGGGGCCTGGGGACCACCAAAAGTTTCTCGCGGACCACTGGTTGGCGACCGCTGCCCTATACCATTAAATGGTGGTATTGGTGATTATGGTTTGATTGCTTGCCTTTTGTGATTTATTGGACCTAATTAGGAAGTACAATTAAACTTTATTGTGGGAGGCCTCTTAAACAGTGCAATTATTGTGCATTGCTATATAGTTTTTACTCTCTGAAAAAATTGGAGAGTATAAAAAAACAAGGCAAGTGGGAGGAAGAGAACTGAGAGCCATATACATTGTAGTTTTTTTGGTTTGTATAGCCACGAATAGAAAATAGCAGAATATAATTAATTACATATGGGAAAGTTGCAGAAAACCATAAAAATGGTATGCAACCTGTCATCAAGTGCGAGTAGAATATCACTGACTCCAAGTACATATTTTTTTTTGGTGGATAGTTGCACTTAATGCATAGGAAGAACCAGACCTTAGTGCCTAAAGGTGGGCTGTGTAAGGTTTGTTTGTTAGTATAGTTGTGCAAAAATAGGGTCCCAAAACGCTTGTGTTGCAGAGGCGCCTGGTGGATTTTCCATATGGTGCAGACAAATAAAGAGATCTTGTATCCAAAGTATATTGTTTGTTTGTTTTAGTTGAGTTAAAACATGTTTTCTGTCTACCCGCTACTTCTTCAGAACATTTGGTGCTTCGGAAAGGCTGTTTGTGGTCCCAACTGAAGTGTATGTGACGCACCTGTTCTAAAAGTGGCGAGTAGCCACTTTTTAAACTGGAATTTTAATGTAACTACAATCTAGTAGACAAAATATGTGAAAAATTGTGTTCTTTATCCATTTTGATTAGTGTTAGTTTTTTTTAAAAATGGATAACTGTGAATAAAAAGTGTGCATTGTATTCTATATTTGGTCATAGCAGAAAACATGGCAAAAATTTTGGCAAATATTTTTTTAATTTTACACATTTTCTTTTTATGCAAAAAAAAATAACAAACTAAATGAATGAAATAGAAAAAACAAAGACTAAGAGGAGGAATTAGTTAATATGGGTTGATTATGATTAACTAAGGGTTTATACATTTTAATATTTAAAAATACATTTTAATGTACCTTTTGTTCTATATTTGAATGAAATACTGTACAGTGCATCAATGTATTGTTTCATTGTATTAACTATTTTCTTAAGGACACTTACACACTATCTGCAAGTGCCATTTTACACAGGAGCAGCTGCATTTTGACAGACACTCCTGCTATGTGATACAAAGTAATTCTTGGCTGTCATTTTGTGGCAGGGGAGAGTGGAGGCAGGGGAGAGGAGCAGATCACAAATAGCTTTCCTGGAGCTTTACCGAGAGTGAAAATTGAAGTACTGCTTTAATTTTTTTGTTTTTTTGCTTTCCCTTGGCACATCATATTTACTGTTCACAAAGCCAACACAGAAAATATATTGCAATCGTGACAACTCCTGTCAGTGTATCAGGACTTAGACATTTTTGTGTTTAAAAGAATGTTATAAGAAGTATTTAACTATTGCATTTACTTGTAATATGGGCAGTGTCTTAAACGTAATCTATTTTTGTCATGGTTTGTATTAATCTTTTGTTGTAAAGCTGTATATTGGCTATAATGACACTGATACATGTTCCATGTCACCGTGTTTCATTAGATAACATTGTAGCTGTGCTTTGTGCATGCCTGGAAAGTGACAATCTGAACTTTCAGAGAATAGGAGCTTCGGCATTATGGGCATTGCTTCACAATTACCAGAAGGTGAGTGCAGAATGAGAGCAAGGAAAATTGAAATCATTGGTACGGTGTGGTCATTTAAAGTAGTCAGAAACAGTAGAGCTAGTATGAAGAATGACATTGATTAGTTGGGCTTTGTTAAATATAAACACCATACAGTGCTGTTTAGTGGAAAAAAAATTAGCGCATCAGCCTATCCTCTAATAGCATTGCATGCCACAGAGCCCACATTGAGGAAGCTATGATTCCATTCACATAACAGCCTCTTGGATCCCTAGAAAGACAGCTCAAGGCATCTTTTAGAATTTTATTTTCTAGCATTAATGTGGTAACATCTAATCAATGGAGCTTGCATCAAACAGATGTTCTCCTGTTCTAGTTTTCTAGTCATGTCATAAGCCGATTGTGTTTTTCTTAGAAATGTCATTAACTTTCTTGTAAATTTATATTTATAATTATTTATTTATCAGACATTCACTAAAGGAAACCTGAATTGAGGAAGTATGGAGGCTTCCATTGTTGACATCCTTTTCTAAAATTCTAAAAATATCCCTGACTGTTTATCTCTCTATGACTTAGAGAGACAAACAGAGACAGCCAACTGACATTGTTAAGAAGAAGGCCAGCCACCATATTTCTCTCAGTACAGGTACACGATCTGGAAAAAGGATAGTTCGAACTCTGAGCCAGCCACATCTCTGTAACTGACAAGAGCATGTTTAAAGGAAAGGAGACCACAGGGATCACCTAATCAGAATGCATGTGCTCCTTCATTGCTCAGTCACAGGCTGGGTGGGTCTCTAAAGCCTAAATCCAGTAATTTTTTTTCTAGTCCAGTTTTTTTATCTCCCTGTGTCCTCACTGAGGAGATTTTCCATTACTTTCTGTCCTACTGACACCAGGAAAATAAATGAGAGGGTGCAGATGTCATAAAGACAGCAAATCAGAGCCCACTAAAACCTAAGATATGTTCTAAACACACTCTACTAAATAAATGTGTTTTTGTTGTTGTTTCATCAGATGTCTAATCACTTTCTGTCACTGTGATCACCAAGAAGTGAGAGCAGCTCTTCGTAATGGGAAGGCAGAGACAGTAAAAACCTGATAAAAGTTCTAACCCTTTCTTCTTCTGTCCATAACTAAAACAAAAAAATGTCTGGAATTGAGTTTTAAATGCAGTTTTTTTTATTTCTGCAAAGAAGTGCATGAACTGGCTGTGCAGTCTGGCAGGGTTGCCAAACTTTTTTTTGGCAAATTGAAGATTTCACATGTGTATTTCAGGCATGTATAGGTTTATACTTTAAGCCCAACTTAAGGTATGTGGCAATTGTATTACAGGCAAAAGTGACTTTGAAGAATCCCTTGCTGAAGGGGAGAATAGAAGAAGCCTTATATGGAATGAGGAAAAGTAAGTTGGGTTACATGACATCTGCTGTGTCCTAAACTGGTACTGTAAATGATGAGGATTTTATCTTCCTTTATAGACTGTAATTGAATCTAAGAACTGATTTTGCCTTTTACAGTCATGCCTTGGGTTCCTTTTCAACCGTTTTTGTACCTTTTATGTGAATATGTTTCTTTCTCTTAGGAATGTGGAGAAATAGCTTACAATCATTATTGAAGAGAATTTATACAAAATTGTTCCCACTTTTTTTTGTTAATTTCAGTTCTAAAGAAATGCAATCCAATAAATATTACATTTATATATTTAATGTTTATTACTTGGATTCAGCACATTTAAAAAAAAATGCAGCAGCTAGTGCGGACTTGTGACACAACTGCCACATTGATATAGTCAGTCCTCTACTGTAATCCTATCTCTCCATGGACATCAGGGACTTCCAAGTGTGCAAGCCCAATAGATTGTCTCAGAATGTTTTTGAACCAGCTTCTTCCATAAATTGGAACATTGGTCACTTGAACTCTCCACTTTATGTTACACGTTCTGGTTGTAGAAACATGCACTGACCACCAGGGTCAACCTGGAAACATTGTCCTCTTTGTTAAGAGCGAAGATAAAAAAAAGTCACCACTAGATTTGCTCAGGGTATGCACCAGATACCTATAGGAGGTAGTTACCTGGCACAGCTAATTTGAAAGCACCTCTCCTGTACTCCCACATCACCTTTCTTTGTCTGTTTCACGGTATTTGACCTCCTTCTATGATGCAGTGCTTTGGCTTAGCAGCTAATCAAGAGACCTGAGCACCATCACATGACAGAGGGGTTGATATCAGCATTCCCTCTGAGATCTGACGCCTAGCACCTGTGATAGAGTGCGGAGAAAGGAGTGGTGGATGAGCATTGGAGAGGTGAGTATAAAGTGGTGGGGGGTGGACTTTACCCCTACCCTGTCACTTTACTCTCAATAGGTAAGGTGACAGGGTTTGGACCAGTAGAAAGGCCCCTGTGGTAGGAGGACATGGGACCAAGTCAAACTCTTGTAAGAAATGTCTAGATTTGCAGGTAACATGAATATCCCAAGAAAGGCCTGAACTTTTTTTCATGTGAAAACTGATGTGCCTTATTGTTCTAAATATAAGATAATATGCGAGCTGTGTGTGTTTTTATGCAGCAGGAAGTCTTTTTGTCCAATGCTGCCAGTCTGTTCAGGATAATGTGCTATTAGTGAGGGTTTTTACGTTTGCCATTTTTCTCTATTCACAGATGAAACCGGCTTGGAAAAAAGACATGAAGTGTATCATTTAAAATGCCTGGAGAATCTGGAGCAAGTTCTTGCCAATTGACAATGGCAGCAACAGCACACTAGAGTGATTAACAAACCTGGCCGATACATGATTTATACTACATGAGCAGATGTTTCTAGAAAGGACACATTTACTGTGTGAAATCTATCACATCATTTGAAACCAGAAGATTTTTCTTACTCTCATTTGCTGTATGATCTGCCAGAAGCAATTTTTGCATTAGCAAAATCACATCTTATGGGGTTAAATTACAAGGACTGCTTTATTACGTTCTTTATCCAAATACTGTGCTGTGTTTTCAATATTTGTACACATATATAATGGCATGAATGACAGTGGGATTGTTTTTTTTACGTTTTCCAATGATGTCCACCGATGTAGTAGCTGCATGTGCCTGCACTTGTTCTTAAATCAGTTGTCGGTGCCTAGGGGAGTACCCTGATTCCTATGGTGATGCTGGCCATAGTTTTCGAGCTTTTGGTGGCTCCGTCAACACCACCCAGCTCAACAAATATTGGTTAAGAAATCAAAGGAGCACAGTGGAATTTTGTCAGACGAACAGCCATTGCATCCAATCAGATGCAGTCACTGTTTGGATATTCAGACAGCCATGGGTTGCAACGGACAGAATACAATAGCCTGCAGGGGAGATTCCTCCATCCAGTTGTCAGAGCCTCTGTAGCCAGTAGAGACTCTGGTATTGTTGAGTGCAGGGGTATGGCTTAAAGTATATGTAAGCCCAATAACTAAAATCTTATATAAGCTATAACATGTTGATGTAATTTAAAGTGGATATTTGCCCTCTTTGAATATAAATCACATCAGCATACAGCTCTGCGTGCTAATATGAAATCATCTTACATTCATTAGCTAAACAAACATATTTTTATTTTACTTACTATTTATTTTTTCTACCTCCTGGTCCACTTTGGCACAAATGATGACGTGATTGTGCCCATGGTTGCATCCTGGGAAGGTTACATCAGCAGAGCATTGCTAGGGAATCTCATCTCTAATCTCAGGAGATCTCAGGGAAAGGCATTTTCCTCCCCTGAGATGATGTGTATGGTCACATGTCCTTGTCACATGTGCCAGAGTTCCAGGAAGTAATGAGAGATATAGTAATCTGCCCTTAGTAAAAAATGTCCCCTATCAGAAGCCTGGGGAAGAAAATGAAAATTAGGTATGCATAGAATAAAAAACTGGCAATTATCTATAAATATCGGTTTATAGATTGCCATTACTAAACATTTGTAAAGGTGCCTTTGTTGATATGTTATTTTGAAGGAATGGGTAAAGTTCTTCATTAAATGTAATTTAAAGTATTTTAAAATCTGCAGCTCTTATTAAAATAATACCTTGTGATCCTGCCTTGTTCGGGCACTTCCTAGTATAAGGTGACACTGCTCTATCCTGTGTCTGATTTGCGTTCCTGCGTTATTATCGTGTCTTCCCATGGAAACTACCATGGGTGAAACACGCCATCACTGGTCTGGTATGTAGACAGGAAGTGGCTGCAAAAAAAAAAGCTAGCGGTAGATGTGCAGAACTGAAATGCAACAAAGGATGAAAAGTTATGAAAACAAATATTTTTTTTTTAAATAAAGTAGATATTGTTTGTAATAGACAGTCCTTTAGCAAGCTGTCATCCAATTGGGGTTTATAACTGTCCAAATGTTGACATCAATGAATATAACATGGGCCTAGGATTTAGGGTCCACCATAGGCACAAAGTAACTGATTTAAAGAGAAGTACTAGTATTTTTAGGCAAAGCAAGCTGGTGGCACTTGACCAGTGATGTCAGTTTATGTACTTTGGTGTCCAGTAAAATCAATGTTACCTTTATGTAGAAGTATTATAAATACCATTCACAAATGTATACATTTCCATAGCTAAACAGCATTCCAGAAATTTGATATTGTATTAAATGTGTTCTACATCTGAGCAACCTTGTAACCTACTATAAGGACAGTCTACCTGAAAAGTTTCTAGACCATTTATGTTTCTATTGGGAACAGAAGCAGTAAGATATTACCACCAGAATTCCCAATTCTGTCCCATCCAGCTTTAAGGTCTGCCTCCTTCCACAAAGTGGATCATTCTGGGTCTCTGTTGTGATTTTATTTTCATTCTTTACAGTATAAAAAAGTAAAACTCCGATGGGAAGAGTGTGACCAGCTGTGAAATTCCAGCAAAGTTGCACAGAGATTTGTATACTCTCACACTGGTATCTTAACTGGACTCCAAGTGATTAAAAAAACCGCTCAGTGATAAGAATTCTCTATCTGTTTAGTTAATCTATTAATATTTTCTTTTGTAGGCTGCCCCTAAAGCGGACCTCCAATTAGCTTGTAATATCCTTTCAGAGCGCCCCCATTTTATAAGCCTCTAATGCACTAGTAGGCAACCATGGCGCTCCAGCAGTTGTTGAACTACAAGCCCCATGATGCCCTGCAAGACTGACAGCCACAGGCATGACTCCCAGAGGCCCAGGCATGATAGAATTTTTAGTTTGACCACAGCTGGAGTGCCAAGGTTGCCTACCCCTGCTCTAATGCTTGTTAGATCTAGGGGGATACAGTATAGCAGTGTCCTCCACTCCTTCAATGTGGCTAGTTCTTCAACATCCTTATGCATACTGGTCCTGCTCTGTACATGATGTTATTGGTAAAGGGGTAGACACAACCCATGAAGAGTGGTTTTATAGAACTACTCCACTGGTGCAGATAAAACCTACAGATGTGCAGAATCTAGTACATCATTATTTTCTGCCTCCTAAAGATCGGAAGGACTTTTTTTTTTTTTTTTTACAAGTTGACTGAAGTTCATCTTTAAGGAGGTTTATTGGAGGATTTCTTCTACATTATGTTTTCGATGGAGTACAGGCCGTAATGTCAGCTGTGTACAAATATATCTCTTCCCTGGGCCCGAACGTTACCTGGAAGTGCAGAAAATATAATATATACTATATTCCTTTATAAAAAAAATATCTTGTAATTTACATTTAGTTACTCTTTATTAGATTCTTCTAAATGCATTTGATGTACATTAACTCTAGCACAAGGCTTGCATTGCAGTAATCAGTGTTTGGGCTGCATTTTTGGCTCTTATTTTAACATATTCAGTAAGAGAAAAATTGTGACTCCTGTGGCAGTCTGTTATATTCATGCAAAACTGTCAATATTTACTAGAAATGCTAATCCTTAAATTCCTTCTAAACTTTGACTTCCAAAGTAACCAGCTGCATTTGTAACCCTATCTTATAAAGTTAAAAGAAGTAATTAAGGTATTTAAATGACGCTGCTGCTGAGAAGTAATTGAAAAAAAAATGTTTTCCCCTCATTTATCGTTTCTGCAAAATGGAACTAACCACATATTTTTGTCACCTATTAATTAAGGATTAGCAGTTCTTGGTAAATAAGGCAAGCTGTGCTTTACAAGATTTAAAAAATTGGATATCTTCAATTCTTTTTACATATTTAAAGCTGAACTCTGGGAAAAATTACTTTTTCAGTGCCCCCCCCCCCCCCCCCCCCCCC